TGCCCTCCCAATTCTCATTTGCCTTCCTCAATTGCGTTTGCGCTTGCTGACACACCGCACATACACCCCAGGAATGCGGGGGCTCAAGGTGTGCCACTAATGGCTCTCACACACACTGAGATACCGATCAGATTTTCGTTGGTTGGCGTCTCCAGCCTTCCATCTATCTCAATGTTACCAGAGGTGAGGATTTTCACGTACCTTTTTACCTCTCGTCACACGGTACTCCCATTTGTTTCCTCTCGTCGAAACACTTTTTTTTTTTGCGTCTTGTTACCCATCGCTATTCTTCCCCTTCCGCCTCTTTTCAATGCCGATATCTCGTTAATCCATATGCGGTGTTGATTGCTGGTAAATGCCCTGATTAATTCGGATACTGCCGTCAAGAATTCAAAATGAGATTCAGAAAACGATGGAGGAAGACGTCGCTCTAACAGCGGCTACTGTAGAATAATTAAATGGAACCACCGGTAAAAAAAAAATTGTAATCGGAATATTTTTTCCAAGTTTTCAAAAAATTGCGGGAAAAATATTCAGAAATTTTTTTTTTAATTTGGAAAAAATATTCCGATTACAATTTTTTTTTTACCCAGGATAGAACATGAATAATTCAGGACGAAATATTTGGGGAATACAGGTACCGCTGAGATTTCCATTCCATTTCAATCGGTGTCTTCCGAATTTTCCAAAATTCAATAATGACCACTGACTTTCAAAAAAATCGGTAATTATTCCACGCGCTAGAATAATTTTTATCAGACAACGAAAACCGTTACCAATGTGAATTTATGAAACCCGATTAGTACCCAATGAAATGAGAATAGATCTATCAATCAATGAAATCCCTCGGAAATGACAAAGTACTCATTGCCCGATGAAAATGATCCATCCACTGCTGCATGAATCCCGAGCATTTGAAAATGACCGGCACTCATGAAAATGTCGTCAGCACCCATTGATGAAGCCCCAAAGTCTCGGAAATGCCCGGACATTTACCAGTGGATTTGGTTGCACGCATTCATTGGTCACGGAACAATGCTCATTATCTAATAATTGCGATTACTCCGGATAACCGGTCCATGAATAGTTATCAGACCGAGCGGATATGCTAAACAGACAACTAAATTTGCCATCTGTAGGCATCGGACGATTTCAGAGGCTTTCGATGTATATATTCTGGGTCCCCCACCATAACTGCACCTTCTCACATCACCTAGGGAATACATACACCAGAGTTTCCTCGGTAAAGCAAGAGCTATCGTTTGACCATTTCAGTACGCACACCCCTCATACCTAAAACCACATATACATTAACATATACATTCATCCCTGGGACTACATGCAAGTACACTTTATCAACACTGGAGATGGTTTATCGATTATCACCGATAAATTCTATGCATTCTCGTCAAATCGATGAGTTAAACTGCGTGACCGGCGAAATTGTTGATTTATTCTGTAAACAGAGTACTATCCAGGAACCCTCGGGCTACGATAAAATAAACACGATCATGTGAAAACGAAAAAAAAATATGTCTGGATCTATCTGACATGCGCACTGAAATATTTAATTAATGTATTCAATTATTTTTTAATGAATTGCAGAAAATTCCGTTATTAATGAATCATCTCGTCAATGCAGCGGAGTGATTGTTGCTGGAATCAGGGGAATAAGTAAATTCTTTGAAAGAAAAATGGCGGACTCCCACAATTGCCTCGTAACACCTCGGGATCGAAACAAGTACCATGGCGTCATCAAATGCTGTTGGTCCCTGCGGGCGTTATATGGGCGTTCCTAGAACAATGAATACGTTTAACGTTCCACACCGTGGAAACGTGCCCCAGGCCAACACAAATGTAGTAAGAAGTGATATACGATTTCCATTAGCCTCGTGTTAGCTGGTTTCCTCGCATCACAATGACTACTATATAACTGTTACGTGATACTCCGCGGAAAAACATAAATCCTCGGTTTTTCTTTCATTAGCTCTTTCGTTAAATGAGGTACAAGCCAATCTCATGGGCCTATTTATCATCAATAATTTGAGTGAATGGAGAAGAGCTCGTCGATTACTCTCCAGCCAAATCTGGAAAACTTTTCAAAATTTAAGGGAGACACTAAAATTTCAACAGGAACATCTGTCCTAACTACGAAAACTTCCTCGGAGGATATTCATGAGTTTGCGAATCCGAAATCACTCGACCCCTCGACGATTGTATGAATAAAAAATGCACGTCATTTAGAAATGACTCATCAATTAATCAAGGTCTCCGAAGGGATTGGACTGAATAATAAAGCTAATAGATACCTCTTCATTTAAATATTGAATACCGATTTTCTGTTGGACAGCCAATTGGATTAACCGAAAATGGAGTGCACTTGATTAGAACTCTTCATTTTTTTTACAACGAGTGTAATCAGTTTTCGCTGCATTCGACCCAGATCCATGCTACAAATTACCCATTCCGATTGGTACTAATTAATAGTATTTCCACTGGTAAAGTAGTCGAAAGAAATTCATTGACTTTGGTAATTGAATTTCAAAGACATTTGGGAAGTGAAACCGGAGATTCTCTCTAATGCACCCGAATTGTCGAGTGATACCCCAGGGTACTTGCAGCCAGTTCCTTTGATGCAATTCAATGCACTTACCTAAGACAGGTAAACTAGACTATGGTGGTATTGATGTATACGATATCCTATCTAGGTCTTCTGGTGATGTTCACCGGGCGTTCAGCTCGAGTTCGTATCTGTACCATCGCCCTCAGCAACACCTGCATGACCGGAGGGATATGTACGTGTAATCCATGTCCATCCCCTCTGACCTCTCGTCCCCTCTTTAATACTGACTCGGTATTCTACCCTCTTGACGTTCTACTGTAGTTAACTCATGCTTAACCGTATCATCCTCCAACGCCTCCTCAATAACGCATCAACCCTTGTATCCATCTCCAGGAGGGGATTGAAGGGTTTAACGATTCTATATTGCTCCAGTCTTGATGGACATCATGGACAATGGGTTTCATTAGGTCATTATTGGGGTCGAGATTATTGATCGATTTATTGGGGTATCAAGTGTCAAGCCATCTTCGATTTGTCTAGATTTTTTTTTTTTTCATTCCATTTATTTGTCTCTGGTACGCGTATTGGCTGTAAATAATTGCAAAATCCAGATTTTTCGCGCCTGATGTGAGTACTGAATTATTTTAATTATTTAAACAAAGTCCTGGGGGTTTTTATGGTGATGAATTTTCGTCCGCGATGTTCTCGTGATTTAATTAAGAACTATTAATTCTAGTAATCATATTTCCTGGAATTAAAAGTGAAACTCCGGTGATGGGGGATTATGGTGAGAAACTAGGACACGGAGGCGATGTTCCAGGACAGGTCCTCGAGAATTTTTCGGAACAATTTTTGTAACGGGAGATAATACCTCCATTTTCCCGCAAATTCTAAGATAGATATTTATCTCATGAATGAATTACTTCAATATCCATCGATTCAGTACCGAGAGAAAAATTCCAGTGACATTTCAAAAATCCTGAAAATGGTGAGGTGTCTTGAGATTTTCGTAAAATGGCGGCACGATAACAATTTCGGAAAATTCGTGAGAAAATGGAAAAAATGGGATTTTAAATCGGTGCACGAAGTCTTCTCCCAATATTGCCATGATTCACATGAGACAATTCCCTTGAAATTCCAATGCGAATCCAATATATGGTAACTGTCCTCATGAACTCGTGTCGTTTGGTATTGGTGAAAAATAAAAATACCTCACCCTCCCTCGCGTAAAAAGAGCAACAGGGAGACAACACAACGAGATGAGTTTGTGGCAGGCATGGTGGCGCGTGCTAGGCGTTCACGTAACGTTTGTGAATGGAATACGAAATATATTTTCCCTCATTCCAGTGTAAACCTCTGTGAGGAGTATGGAGGCCGAGTACCGAGGGTTAATAGTCATACAGTTTCATCCCGTCCGTCTGCTGCCAGGTTTGTGACAAGATTTTAGAATAACGGCTGTACCAAGAGACGACGAAAATTTTATCCCCCAGAAGGTAGTGCCTCACTCGAAGAACGGGAATAAGTAAAGAGGGAAAGATGATCACATCTGCATGAAATTGTTGAGTGCTGTGTGTGCTTGAGTGATATTCTCCGAGGATGACAGGTGTCTTCATGACGACGTGGTGGAGTTCCCAAGCTGACCGACGAAACCGCCGGGCTGCATAATATTTCATCGTTAGAGTTTCTGACTCCCTCAAAGTTACAAGTTACACCGACGATAATGGATTATCATTTCAATTATCAGAAAATCGATTACCTATCGAAGTAACATGATTATTAAAAAATTGATAATCTCGAATAAAAAGGCAGAATGACCAGAAGAAAATGGAGGAAAGCACACGAAATTTTGTTGGCACAAGGAAAAATCATCTGGCATCGACGTTTTACCCCGGAATGAGTCGAATCGCCGGTTGAAGCGCAGCATTTAAAATGGTTGGCAGAGTAGGACGAGTAAAAGAGTAGGCGAATAGAAGATAGAGTGATCCGATGAAAGAAAACAACGTGCCATTACTCTCACTGATCGCCACGAGGTCCACCCCCCGGGGGTTGAACGCCCAGGGGGTGTCCAGTATCAAGGAAACTTTCTTTTTCACCCCGAGAACTATTCTACTTTTACATCACTGCAGGGATTATCCTCAGGTCTGTGGTGGGGTTGAAAATCGTTATTCCTCTCTATGTTTCAGATTTTTCTTTCCTCCTCTCACCCATCGTTGCACCCATATTTCAACCGATAAAGGTATAATGTAGTGGACGTCGTGATATTCAAGAGGTCCTTAGATACAGAGAATATACATGTACATCACTTTGGTGAAAAGTGCCCTCTGTGTACCCAATTCCTTCACGTCTTGGCAATGTGCTTTCTCTCCTCTCTACCATCGAAAAACGTGACAGCCTCCGGGTTGAAGTCCGGTACTCTTCCCTCAATGGCATTACTCACCTTCTCGGGATAGCCTTCGTCTTCAATTGATCGAAACTACCAGTTAGCACTCCAGAGGTTTTTAAGGTTCTGAAATAAATTTTAACAATGGAAAAAAAATGGACTTTCATTTATTTATTTTTATTCCCTTATTTTTTCGTCAGTGAATAGATGGAAGTCAAAAAATAGAATATATTATTCAATGTGGGTGATATTTATTTATTCTGGGGTAATTCAAATTTCGAACTGAATTATTGGCGGGATGAATAACTAAAGTGCAGTTGAACACCCACTCCTTACATTTTCACAACAATAAACCGTAATAAAAATTCACTTATAATTTTCCAGCATCTGGGTTGGAACTGGGATTTACGGCTTCATAAACTAGGTTTTATCTAGGGTGCTTCCGATCCACCCTTGTCCTCATCTGGTCCGAGAAATTAACAAAAGGAAGATGAAATCTGGAAATAAAGGAAACAGAAACGGAAAATTAATCATACGAGAGGAATGACAATGAATGCAAATCACAAAAGTGAAATAACCGTTGAGGTGAAAGACTATATAAGGCCTTATTATCCTCCGTCGAGAGTACGAAAAGTAACCGGAGGGATTGGAAAGGAAACCGCGAAGATCAAAAAGACGTATCTCGTCTGGAATATCGGGTTGGGTCACGACGGATAATAGATAAGAAGGTACTCCTCGGAGTGGATCGACTGACACTTTAATCTCACGTAGAACACGTAATTCCGGGTGGTCCTCTATTCCCCTCCCTGTACACGTATACATCCATGTATAAAGAGGAAATTTCGTAGCAATAGATGGGAGGGATATCTTTTTTCTTCCCTTTTACATTTTCTCCCACTTTTCCTTGTTATTTCATTCGAGTTTTCTGCATGGCCTGCCAACTGCTCAACCGCCGTCTGCATTTCAGACCATTTCTTTTCTACCCATTCTAACTCCTGAGAAACAGCCCCCCCTTCACGTATTTTGCATAGAATAGTTCTCGTCCTGGGGTCTCGGGTAAAAAAAAAATTGTAATTGGAATTTTTTTTCAAAATTTTCAAAAAAAAAAAATAGAAATTTTCATTTTCTAGAAATTGTGAATTTTTTTCGTCGGACAGATGAGAATTCTGATATCAACGAAATTTATCTCGGGATAAATTTTACAACAAATTGCTCCGATTACTTATTCATGTTTTTTTTTTTGAATGGAACTCGCGATTTCCCCGGAAATGTCTTATCTCGCGACTTGCCAGAACTTTTCCACCTATTCATCCAATTACTATCGGATAAAGAGGCAAGAGATAATAAAAGTTACTAGGCCATAAGATAGATAATATTATATATTCCGAATTCACCAATTTAATTCATCCAGAATTTTCGTGAATTCCGTAAATTCCAGTGATGTGTAGAATAAAAGTATTAATAAAAAAATTGAAGTTAAATTTTGAACTTCTTTCCAAATATTTAATTTTATTAAAATTTCGAGTGCCAGTGGAATCTAGGATCGTACGTTTTCAAGTCGCAATTCCATAAAATTCAAGAAAATTCAAGAAGTTGTTGAACATGCGGAGGTGGAGACCCCGTGTACTGGAGTTTAAGGGATGATGGTATCTTTGCAACTAAAATTCCCACTTCAGTTGTACACGAAACGTTCGCAGAGTGTGTGAATTTAGAATGAGTATTCCCGCATACAAGTGCGTTACGCCTGTGGCTTAACACCAGAGTACATAACCACCAACTTCTGTACAGTACCCTCCCTCGTCGTCCCTCCTCAATTTTCAGGAATAGACGTCGGGGATAATTCGCAACACCCCGTGGAATCCAATTTCCGATCTTACGCGTATTCATTTGCACTTGCACACAGTGCCTACTAAATTCCCCGTGGAATCAACGCCTCAAGTAATATCTTCACAGGAATTTACTGGCCTACGTGAGCCCGCGAAATCCACCATGGCCTCCCAAATATTTACATTTTCACTGATTATAACGTCATCATTATGCGCTTCGTTACTCCTAATTGATGTCAAAGTGGAAATGTAATTAGACCTGAAGTCATTCCCGGTGAACAATAACCGGATTAATTTCGGATTATTGCTCGAAAAATTACAGAATTTATTGCGGAAATATTAGATATGCTAATAATTATTATTGATGTGATGATTATAAGAATTTTGCAATTCGCATTTGTGAGATTTTTATGGCGAGAAATCTGTTTTATTTCCTACAGCAGAAAAAAAAAGAAAAAGTCGAACTGGGCTTTTCTCTTTAGAAAAATGTGATTTTTGCTGTGTCAGGTCGACGCGAGTTATCTATCTTCGTTTCCCTCATTCAAGCCTCAACCAAACGTCAATTTCACGAGCAGCCACACAGATGGATAACGTATGTTAGCGATTTAGAGAAAAGTCGGTTTCTCCCATTTTTCGTTTCCACTGAAGTTAAAATGCCTGTGAAAAATTGACCGGGTTGATTTCTCCTCGTGGAGTAGAATTTTTTTTTTCAAGAGGGACAATTTATGTATTCAGTTTTATTGAAGCGTAAATTGTAGAAATGTTTCTGATCTAGTGAGAGGAATTCTTTTCAAATAATTTCCGGTGTCTGACACTGATGGTACATAAAGAGGTAGGAGCATCGATGTTGGCACATTTTTATTATCCGTGGACGCCTTTTACGAAGATATATATCATAAAATATCCAGTTATCGCGTTTGGTCCTTCCACATTGGCCCTCAAATGCCAATGCATAAAATCCTGTGAGCATGATTTTTTTTTTCCATTCATTTTGAGAAGGAGAGGGTGGGATATTCATGGGATCGGCATAACACTTTTGGATTACTGGATTTTTCACTGGAATTAATTCCCGCGGAGGTATCCTTTTACTTCAGGCAATTCCAGTGAATTTTATTAAATTCTAACTTATTATTTTTGACAAGGAAAAATCGACTGGTAATTTATTTATTTATTTATGCGGTCACCTGTGTATTTATAATCCAATGGGCACACTCAGCTCTCTATTCCATCACCACTTTCTTCGTAATTATAAACTTTCGGATTGATGAACAAGTTATTTTTTCACACACAGTCTCGAGGCACATCATAAATTCAAAATTATTTCCATTGGAAAAAGACTATCATTGAGATTTTATCAGCGAACCATTTACTCCGACAAGTATTCCAATACCCCTTTTATCTTATTTCTCAAGTCAAAAATAATTGAGAAGAAATTTAGCCGACAAGACGAAATGTTTCGTAAGTGGGACACCCGTCTATCCCGTTCGAGGAGAAAAAGAGAAGGAAGTGAAAATTGAGAAAGGATCAAAACAAAAATAAATAAAATTCCGATCCTCAGCGGACTAACAGGAGTTGGATTTGAATTTCATATGTATCTGGAGCATCAAAAAAATTATCAAAACAAGAGTGAAGTGGAAACCGTTGGATAAAAAATTCAGGGATGACCAGAGGATTTTTTAATTAGCGGGAAAACGAGTGTTTTCAATTGCTTTCAACGATTATTCGTATTATTTTCATTTAATCAGCATTTGCAGTGAAAATTATTTAATTATCCGGATACACTTCCAGGAGATGAAATTTGAAAAATTCATTACATCGACACACACACGCACATTTTTGAATTTACTGAATCTGTTGGATTGATATACCGTTAAAAATGAGAAATTTTATCGATTCCGTTCGAAAGGAAAAATTGATGGGAATTTTCCTAGACGCGCAGAGCGATGCACTACGTCTATGTCATGCCTAGAAAGTCGGCGTTGCACTCTTGTGGGTGGGGGTAGGCGTTAGGGTTCTTAAAGCTTCGCGGTTTTTTTCAAAAGCCCCTCACAGTACCTCCCCCCCCCATTCTCATTGCAACAACCCCACCCCACGTCTCCCCACCGTTCTCCACCTCCTCGTTTTCACCCATTCGTGCCCCTCTCCACTGCATCTATCTTCCCCACCACGAAAATCCCTTCTTTCCCCTCTTGCGACCCACTATTCACTATCTCCCTCAGTCCTCAGTCGTATTCCCTCTTTGCAGTTTCAACACAGCTCCACTGACTCACGAAAAAAAAAAACAACGACAAAAGAAAATATAAAGACACAAATTGCACACTCACGTACACATGAATTTAACACATTCGTAAAAGTCTAACTGGTTAGACCCAGCTGCACATTCTCCCGACCTCCCAATCTATAAACGCAATATATATTAAACGTTATGGAATTTTGTGAAAATAAGTTTCGCAATGTGAAAGTTTGCACGAAAAAAAAAAATGAGGAAATAAATTTAACAAGTGGATATTGTCTTCATCATGGGTTTTTTAATCTTTACTGTTTGAATTTTCTTTACAAAATATTTAAATCTTCCATTTTCGTTTAAAAAAAAATCTGTTTATCCCCTGAACTAGTCATGAAATTAATCTTCGTCATAAAAAATGGAAAATTTGGGATTTGAATCAATTTGGAGGTGGAAAAGGGGGGAAAATGGAGAGGGGAAATAAAACTGCCCATTCGTATTGCTTTGGGATTTTTTATCGAGGTAGATTAGGGCTGTATTAGGGTAGGGCCATTTGTCCTTGTGATTCTGGTTCATGGGGTCACAAGTACATTCATACCTCTTCCAGAGGGAAGGGGAGATTGCAAGAAAGGACGACTGCAAAGGTACGTAAAGAAAAAGGGAGGAATGGTTACGAGGAAAAATATTCAGTTGACGTTGGGAAAGCTGGTGATTTTTTTTTACACGACACGTGTGCCATTATCCCGATGGTATCACATATCGCGGTTTATTATGGCTGAAGGGATGAGTGGCATTCTCCAGTGACTGAACAAATACACACGTCATTCTGTAAAATACACTTTTTAAACAATTCCGGTGTTTTACTATTTTCTGATCTCCGGATATTTGAATGGAGCTCTACCGGTGCGGAATCAATAAATATGAACTCCAGAGTCTCAGGAGATATTACCAGAATTCGTTTGATGTTGAATATTTCCTCAATTTCCATCACTCGTTCAATAATTCCAATCGGAAATCAGTTTCTATTTCAGACGTAATACCATCAAAGAAGATGGGAAATTAATTTTCCCCTGAAAAGAAGTCGTTATACTTGTATCGTTGGGATTAATCCAGCGACATTTTCCAGTGGAATAAAATTCGTGTCTGACGTTCATGCCTGATTAATTTTCTAATTAATATTTACGTCGGGTAAACATTGAGTTTGAAAAAAATGAGAGCCATTCGTATGTAAAAATTTTACATCGCTGCCAAGTTCTGTCAGGGGATATAAATGGACAAGTCTCCTTCAACTTTTCGAATGATATCCCCTCGAGAATTTTTTGGGTGAGATACTGAGACACCGTGGTCTCCACATTTTGTACTTTCTACTTCAACTCTTATTCTCCCCAAGGCGTAAAACCCCGAACAATTCAAAATCGATCACGAAAGACACAGCACTTTAAGAGTTAGTTTCCAAGATTCTAAACTCGATCGAGCCCAGTACATCAGTAATTCAATGCGGCCCTTCCGAAACTTTCACCGATTCCAACAAATATTTTCAATTAAGCCGAAGCAAACTTGATCATTAGACCAAGATTAATTGAAAGGCGTAGGTGAGAATGAATTGAAATGCTAGAACAAGGTGAGCCTTGATTCAATCAGGGTGAAAATTAGAAATTTGAATTGCACTGGAAACGCTGACAATGCAGTTGCCCCAGATGATTCGAGCACAGTGGAAAATAATGAAAGAGACCGAAAGGAAATGGAGGAAAGGCTGGCACGTCCATTTCTGAGCTCATTTCACCCGAAGATTGCAATGTTTCCGGTTGAAAATTTTAGGTTTAGACCCAATGCCCGGTCTACACGCTTCCAGCACCTTCAGAAACCCATTCTAGCCTGTCCAACCTTCTTGCTAACCTCACTTTAGCATTACTAGACTCAATTCATGCCAAGGCTGACTGGGTGCGTTGCCCCCTATTGCCCCTATGCTGCCGTCACTGCAGAATACACCAGCAGGCGAAAACTCCCTCTTTCCCTCTTTCCAACAAGCATTTATCTCGCTCTCTCCTCCCACCACCTTGCAGCCTCCTCACTACAACGTTGCACACCCAGACAGGTCTTGCAATTGCCTTAGACCTTTAGTACATGTGCCCAATTCCACTTTACCTCGGGCTTTCAAACTACCATCGAGTCATGAGACCTCACTCTCTTCTTTTAGTTCTCTCTCGCGAAAAAAAAAAGTGGGAGTTGTCAGTGCCTCCCACCGACCCCGATGCAACTCTCAATCTAAAAGTGATATTTAAACCGTAAATTCCAGCATTCCACGAAAATTCAGGCCTAATTAATCCGACGGAAGTAATGAGACCATTGCTAATTTAATGGATTGAGTTATGCATGAATTCTAGATTTTTCGGTGGATGAATTCGCCTCTTTGAGGTATTCCGAGGGTACATTAAAAAATTTTGGTATTCTCGGGAACGTTTCAGTAGATTGGATCCCCTGGGGCTGATGAATCATTAAGACTGGCAATCTGGGGTGAATGAGATGTGAGCGAAGTGCAGAGACGAGATGTACCTCTGCACTGAGGGAAATTACGCAAACAGCACCAAGCTATACAAATTTATATAACAAGATTATTTTTCAATGGACGCGCAGTTTTTCTAGAGTCATCACGCCATCTTTTAAATAAATTATTTATTCTATTTACGAATTTACGACGACTCGATACCAGAATTCATCGTAACGTCTCGTAAATTTGTTCAGAATACAAGTGCGAATTATTATTCCGTCGCATCGATACCCGTTCAATTTTAAAATGAGTCTTGCCAGTGAGAATTGAGACGTCTAAGATGTCTTTCATGTATGCATTCAAGATGCACGACAATCCTAGTTTATTATGCATGCACACGAAATTGACGTAGCACGGAGGAAGGAATGACCTTCCTTCGAGGGATTAGAATGAGTGTGCTTGTGTGTAAAAGACAGAAAATACCTCTTTCCCTAAATGGAAATTCAAGAGGGGAGGGAATTCAAGACGAAAACTGCGTAGCACAAGTTTTCCGGTGTCGAGCTGTGGTTTCTACAAGTGCAAATGCATATTGTGCTGTTCCCAATAAAGAGAAAGATTTATTCTTCTCTTTCTTGAGGCTTCCATTCATTCATTTGCAATTATAATTTTCCAATATTTTTATAGTATCACGTGATCGCGCAAATTTCTCTCTACGATGAATTAATCCGAAAAATTCAATGAGTTTTTATGTCGGGTGTGCATTTGGATTTTTAATTTTAACTTATGAATGCTGTCAAAGAACACTTTGATGATATTGTAATTACCGAATGATTCACGCGTTTATTTGTCGCATGCTGAAGCGGAAAACAAGGAAAATTTGCCTTTAGGCTCTGGCTTTTGTGCGGAAAAACTCATTTTGAAAAACAAGCATTGGAGTTAAGCGTGAATATATTAATAAACTCGGTAGCACAAAAAAGGCTTTGTACCCGTAATTACGCGCTTGTTAATTTATTTTTATCTTTTTGTCAACTTTATTATTTCATTTTATTTTTCAATCCGATGAGTTCTCACTTTTCTGTGTATAATGTATATGCGGGTGGAATTTTTGGATTGAATGAAATGAATGGAAAATTGAAATGACTGAGTAGACTGGAGAAAAAAAAGTGGAAGCGTGGTTAAAGTAACAAATATAATTTGAAACATTTGGGAGGACGTAGCCCACACTGTCGCCTATGTAAATGGGTGGCTTTCATGACCAGCTGAATAACTGATAGCCCACTCGAGCTGATTGTGCCGATGGTGCTGCGAAGTATTATAGCGTGTGGCAAGAGCGATGCATTTAATTCGTGCATTTCGAAGGAAGTAGGTCGCAAACGGAGAGACTGGTTGAATTAAAACGAGACAGAAATAATGTAGAGAAGGGGCTTTGAATTGAGGAGGCGAGCAGACTTGAGAGAGCACGTGGAGAATTTTTTCTTCCGAGAAGAACCACCAATTGAAAACTAACACTCGAGAGTGTAAATCGTATTGATACATTAAAAATAATTTTAAATAATCCAAGGTCTTGTCTCCTTAGAATTTGAAAATGAGGAATTATTCAAATTCATAATCCGGGTGAAAAAAAAATTGTAATCGGAATATTTTTTCCGAATTTTCAAAAAATTTCTGGAAAACTTTTCAGAATTTTTTTTTATGAAACAGAAAAAAAATCGGAGAACAAAACAATTTTATTTTTGGGAAAGGCTTTGGAAAATTTTTCCAAACTTTTCCCAAAAAACGATTGTTTTTTTCCCCGATTTTTTTTTATTTCAAAAGAAAAATTTTCTGACAAGTTTTCCAGAAATTTTTTGAAAATTTAGAAAAAATATTCCGATGACAATTTTTTTACCCGAGAAGTGACATGAAATTTCGTTTTATGCTAGGGAATTACGATATGCCATAAAAATGTTAAACAATTGCTTTAGTCTGGAGGAAAAAAGTGACTTCATGATTATTAAGCTAAGATATACATTTGATAAGATATAATTTTTTGAAAATTGTAAAAAAATTACTCATTGAATTGCATATTCGTTTTTCTGAATAATCGATGGTCCATACAATTTGTACATTGTCACCTGCGTTTCCCATAACCAGAAAAAAAAATCGTTGAATACGAATAACCAATTCGTTCGAGCTTTTCACTGCCACCCAATTTTTCATCGACACATAGAAAATGAATGCCCTAAAAAATTCATTTCCCCCGTTGCAAATGAAATTGAATGTTATTTTCATTT